TCCCGCATCGGGCTCCCTGCTCGGCAGGGAGTCTGCTTCTCCCTCTGACCCTCCTCCCTCTCATGCTCTCTGTCTCTCATTCTCTCTGTCTCAGATAAATAAAATCTTTAAAAAAAAAAAAAAGAAAGAAAGAAAATAAAGGGTGAATCTAATTGTTTCATGGGGATGCAACTGCTTTTCTTATTGAATCCAAGCAGAGTTAATTGGGGATGCGACCAAATGCTTTCATAAACAGTTATCAGTGACATGAACCATGCATAGGTTCTATCTTATAAAAGAGAGATACAAACAATTTTATAGCTACAGAGTATATGGAAAGGACTTCTGAAGACAACAAAAGTTTACTCTACATATATAAAGTTTATATAAATGAAGAGAGTCATATAATGAACTCCCACACACCTCCTATTAGCTCTTGGGGGACAAGAACACTGCCATGTGTTTTCTCTGTGGAGCACATTTGGGTGAAGGCGTAACTGTGGAGTTAGAGACATCTGGAACTGAATCTCATCTCCGACATAGAGTAGCCGTAAGACCTTGAACAGCTTACTTAATGCTCCTGCGCCTATTTCCTCAACTAGAAAATAGAGTGACAACTACACTCAGATGATTGTTTTGGGAATTGAGTAAGATGATGTACGTACAAAACTCAAACTACCTGGAACTTATGTCCTAAGTGCTCAGAGAATAGGAAACGCAGTATTATTGTTGTTATTATGGTCATTACCTTCGTCATCAGACTAGCCCCGGACAACTGGGTTATAATCACAGTTCTGTCCCCATCACGCAAATGACTTCGGCAAGTCCCCTAACCATCTGGGACTTCAGTCTCCTTATCTAGGTGAAGATGCCCAACCCAGGGGAGGCAGAGTGGCTGGACTGCGGGGTGGCTGGTGATCTATACCAACTCTGCAAAGCATAGGTGGGTGGCATGGAACAGGGATATGAAGAGGCTGAGACCTCAGTGCTTCCCACAAACTGCGATGTCACGAACATGTAAAAAAAAGGGGGATTTTTCGAGAAAGTTTCTGAGGGGTCAAGTTAGGTTTGCCAACAGTGTGATTCCACCAAATAATCAATAAAACCCAAATATCATCTATCTACCATCTCCATCCTTTCCTAAAAAGGGGAAATTTTATTGCTAATAGAATAGGAAAAACATCTTAGGATCTCCTTCAAAGTGGGTGGTATTACATTTCACCTGTAATAAAGATCTGGCCAGTGGAGATCAATCAGTCTTTCAAATATCAATATAGTGAGTGAGGATGGGGAAAGAAGAAAAGAAGCGAAGAACCAAGCTTGGAAACACCGGGAGGTGGGATGAGGGACAGGCCAGTCAGGAGCAGCAGGATGAGCAGTCTTGAGTGTCAGAAAGGTGGAGGGAGGCAGGGACAGAGAGAAAGCAAGGACCTCGGGCTTGCTATCAAGAAGTGAGGTACATGTTAAAGAATGATATTACATCTAAAGATTTAAATATCTAAATCAAATAAAAGCAATTCCGTTTTATCATGCCATTCTGAAAGCACTACCTAATTAATCTACGTGACTGACCAGAAATAGAACTTACAGTTGAAACCATCAGATTTGCATATTCATGAATTTATATTTTCAGTTTACTATTTATTCAAAACAGCAAAATGGGATCAGCTACAATATATGTGATACCAGTTACACAGCTGATCTATCCAATATTTTATAATCTATACTATAGCATATTACTTATCATTAAAGTCATAGGCTACTGATTACAGTGGCTTTAAAATTGAGTCTAGTGAAAATGACCTAAAATCTAACAGTAGGGAAAGATAATAGGCATATACCTTATAAGGTGATAAAATAAAATATTAGGCAACCCTTAAAAATCTTGTTTTCAAAAATGATTTAATGATTTGCAGAAATGCTCTTGATATAATATGAAGTACAGAAGACATTACACGTATCTGTGTAAAAAAGTAATTCCCACTTCTATGTATATTTACAATGAGTAAAAGCCTGGAAAAAGAAAACATAAAAAAGATAACACTGGTCATCTCTGGTATCACAGGTAATCTAATATGCCTTCCATTTTTCTGTATTTTACACATTTGAAACAACAAAATACATTAGTTTCATAATTAGGAGAAACAATAAGTAAACGTAACAGACATACTTACTCTTGGGAATTTAGGATTGAAGTAGTTAATTACTCCAAATTCAAAATAAGATGCAAAACCCTCTTTGAGCCAGATATCGTTCCACCAATTCATGGTAACCAAATTTCCAAACCACTTTTGGAGATGGGAGAAAAAAGAGCTTTCTTAAATTTAATTTTAGGAATATTTATTGTAATTGCATGTTAAATACATAGAAGGTCAAAGACGTAATGAAACTATATTTCCCTCAATAACAGAACTGGAAAACAGGACCCCAAAAAACATGTTGTGGTTGTAACATGAAGAGGTATCAGTCATGCATTTCCTTAAAATAAGTATTTCACATCCAATGATTGAAAGCAATTTTTGTTTTAAAACTGTCATGTTCAAAGATAAAGGTAAGCTAGAGTAGCATGTCTGAAACCGTCCACTTCCTCAAGGGTTATGTTAATCTAAATAAGGCAAAAGTCTGGAATATTCACCCAACACCTACTAATTACAGCATCTTAGAGTCTAAATAGACTACATCAAAATTTTGCAGTAAGCAGCTGTGTTGTCTTAAGAACATGTTTTGATCTGCCCCATGTCCAAGTCACTCATATGTTCTGCTATAATTATTTTCTATTTGAGCTTAACAGAAACAAAGTGTCAAATGGACGATGAATGGAATCAGGAAAGAAAAACACAATAATTTCTAACACCAACTAATCTGTACCCTAGTATTTAATCAAATTCTTGCAATAGCTGTCATGCATTAATAGCTAGCAGCCGGTCTTTCAGAACAATGTGCTGCTTGAACAATCAAAAAAAATGGCATTTTGGGTGACTGACCGAAACTTGTCAAAATTTGTGTTGGCTATGCAACGAAGTGTTATTCTATCCCGATAGATCATTCTTTCCCAAAACGTCTTGTGGATCTACATAACAAGAAGATAACAATTTCCTTGTTTAGATAATTTCCTTCTGGACAAATCTGTATTAATGGAGTCAAGGTCAAAAAGCAGATGGGAGAACCTCCATCAAACACATAACTAAGCTTCTAAGATCACACTGTAAAAGCACAGATCTAATGAAATAAATCGTTGTTTACAACACCTCTGGGTATGTGGCTTGAGGATTGATGATTGCTCATCTCACTGACACTTTAACCAATTGCCTATATCCCCCTTGAGCCCCTCTTCAGACAAAGCAAAAACAAAGTTCAAACAATCTACTGATGAAATGTGGATATCTTTCAGTGACCTTTTTGAATATTCCTTATTTTAAGGTGGAATGAAAACAAATAATCATAGCTCTGGTTGGCTTACTTTCCCTGAAGAGGGCTCCCTGGAGTGAAGTTTACTTTTGGATGCAAATATCTGAACTCTGAAGGGCCTGGGAGGTCTCATCGCTATGATCCATCACCAGTAGTTCAAATTCACACAAGATCTGATTACATAATCTTTCTTTCACTGTCCCACTTCTTGAATAATTTTTTAAAATTTGGTGTACCATAGAGGTTTTATTTTGTTTTTTGCTATCCTTGGTAGAACGGCTGGAGAATATCTTCATGTGAAATAAGAAAGAACATTTTACCACATGCCTGATGTCCGATCTCGTGGGAGAGAATGAAGGCGATCACAGCCTTTTTGTCTGTTACTTGATCATTTGGTTGCATCAACAATAATGACTCATCGAATATCAATAGTCCCCAATTTTCCATTGCACTGTTGTCAAAAGTAGGCAAGGCAATTATATCTAAGTGGATTTAAATGGAGGGAAAAATGAAATCATCTCTTCCAAAAAGTTTGAGATTTCCAGCTATAACGGTCTCAAAATGAAATCATAAAATTACTAAAAGAAAATACAAATGAATATTTATAATGTGAGGGGAGAGAAGACGAATACCAAAGACGGAAGCCAGAAAATAAATGGTTCTGATTGTCTGAAAATCAAATACTTTTGATAAAGGACCTGTACAGAGAAATCTTAAAACTTCACCATAAAAAAAATGAACTTTACAAAATGGGCAACAATCTAAAGAGACATTTCATTGCATAAAATAGGCAAATACACATATGAAAAGATGATCTACATCCTGTGTCACTGGAAAATTGCAAATTAAAATAATGAGATACAACTATACACCCATTAGGATGGTTTAAATCCAAAACACACTACCAAATGCTGCAGAAGATATGGAGGAGCGGCAGGAACTCTCACTCATTGCTGGTGGGAAGGCAAAGTATAGCCACATTGGAAGACAGTTTGCCAGTTTCTTATAAAATTAAATAAAGGCTGGCCGTACAGTCTAGCAATTGAGCAATTGAGGTTATTTGCCCAAATGAGTTTAAAACTTAAGTCCACACAAAAATTGGCACAAGAATGTTTATAGCAGCTTTATTTTTTTTTAAATTTTATTTATTTATTTGAGAGAAAGAGAGCATGCGCATGAGCGGGGGGAGTGGCAGAGGGAGAGAGAGAGCAGCAGACTCGCCGCTGAGCTGGGAGCCTGACTCCGCTTGCGGCTCCATCCCAGGGCCCTGGGGTCATGACCTGAGCTGAAGGCAGACGCTTAACTGTCTGAGCCACCCAGGTGCCCTATAGCAGCTTTATTTGTAATTGCAAATAAATAAAAAATAAAAAAAAATCGGAAACAACGAAGATGTCTTTCAATAGCTGAATGGATACACAAATTGCAGTATATCCATACAATAGAGTGTTATTCAGCGATAAAAAGAAACGAGCTAGGGCGCCTGGGTGGCTCAGTCGGTTGAGCGACTGCCTTCGGCTCAGATCATGATCCCGGAGTCCTGGGATCGAGCCCCACGTCGGGTTCCCGGCTCGGCGGGGAGCCTGTTTCTCCCTCTGACCTTCCCCCCTCTCATGCTGTTTCTCTCTCGCTCGCTCTCTAATAAATAAATAAATAAAATCTTTAAAAAAAAAAAAAAGAAACGAGCTATCCAACTATGAGAGGACAAGAAGGAACTTTAAATGCAGGTTGCTAAGTGAAAAGAAGCCAGTGAGGACAAGCCACACATGGTATGATTCCAACTATGTAACATGATGCAGAAGGTAAAACCAGAGAGACAGTAAAAAAAATTGGTGGTTATCAGGACTCTGGGGAGAAGGGGGGCAATGAGCACAGGGGATTTTTATGACAGTGTAACTACTCTGCATGATACTGTAATTTTGGATACATGTCATTCTACATTTGTCAAAACTCATAGAATGTATAGCACCCAGAGTGAAACCTAACATACATTATGGGCTTTATTTAACAATATTGTATCAATATTCGTTCATCAATTCTAACAAATGTAACACTCTAATGCAAGATATTTACAGTAGCAGAAAGTGTGTGGGGGAAAGGGCAATGGGGAGGTGGTAAATGGAATTCCCTATACTTGCTGTGTAATTTTCCTTAAATCTACAAGTGCTCTAAAAAATAGTCTAGTTCATTTTTTAAAAGATTTTATTTATTTATTTGAGAGAGAGAGAGATAGTGAGAGAGAGCAGAGCAGGAGGAAGGGGAGAGAGAGAAGCAGGCTCCCCACTGAGCAGGGAGCCCAACGCAAGGCTTGATCCCAGGAGTCTGGGATCATGACCTGAGCCGAAGGTAGACGCTTAACTGACTGAGCCACCCAGGTGCCCCAGAAGTAGTCTAGTTAAAATGAAATATTTTAGTTCACCAAAAGACACTATAAACAAATTTGAAAGGCAAATCACAAGCTAGGAAAAATATCTGCAGCATATATAACAACTAGATAACTTTTTTTCATATCTAAAAAAAAACCTCTTACAGATCAAAAAAAAAATGTGAACAATCCACTTTAGAAATAATTCAAATAGCCAAAAATCTTACTTAAAATGTTCAACTTTATCAGAAACACAAATTAAAACAATGATATAACTTAATCTTTCAAATGTGTAAGAGGATTAATAATTAGTACTGCTAATATTAGTATTAACAATTAGGTGCAGGAAAATTGGCATATAGCCTATTGGTAAGGATGTGACTGCTACAATCTTTCTGGAGTGATCCAGCAAAATGCTTCAGAATTTTTAGAATGTTCCTACCCTTTGACTAACTCATTCAACTTTTGGGATTTATACTAATGCAAATAGCATGGATATTTATAAACATTCCCTATGTTTCCTTTAGTGTTCTTAAAGTGGCCAAAAAAAGGGGGGAGGGCATGCAATTAGTCCAAATGTTCAACCAGAGGGTTAAAGTAAATTATTTTGCCAAATTGAAATGTAGGCATTCTATGTTTTAAAAATGACAATACAGGGGCGCTTGGTGGCCCAGGTGGTTGAATGTCTGGACTCCTGGTTTTGGCTCAGGTCGTGATCTCGGGGTCCTACCATTGAGCCCCATGTCAAGCTCCATGCTCAGTGTGGAGTCTGCTTGAGATTCTCTCTCTCCCTCTGCCCCTCTCCCTGCTCACAGACACACACACACACACTCTATCTCTCTCTCTGGAATAAATGAATACATCTTTTAAAAAATAAAAAATAAAATGACAATACAAAAGAATAGTTATCTGGATCATGTTGCCACATAGAGTTACCTTTTAAAATAAAACAAAACAAAAGGCCACTCAAAGAAGAGTCGCAATGCTATGGTTCCATCTTTGTTAAAAACAAAGAAGCAAATGCAGAGATTGAGACTGCCCAGACAGCGGGAAAACAGACCCAAAATGTTAGCTGTGGTTATCTCTGAGTGGTAGCATTATGGAAAATTTTTATTCTTTTTTGTGCTTTCCCCAATTTTTCCAAATTTTCTATGGTGTGATCATTTACTAGTTTTAAAACTAGAAGAACAGGGGCATCTGGGTGGCTCAGTCAGTTAAGCATCTGATCTTGATTTCGGCTCAGGTTGTGATCTCAGGATAGTGAGATTGATCCCCTTGATGGGCTCCGAGCTGGGTATGGAGCCTGTTTAAGATTCTCTCTCTTCCTCTGCCTTTGCCCCTCCCCCACCCAAAATAAAACTAGAAGAACAAGAAAACATTTTACCTTCTTTTGCTAATAGAAGAAATGCCATTTTTATAATGTGCGCTACGTTTGCCTAATGAATGTTCTGTGCTGTGCTGTGTTCGATATATTATGTTGATTTATACATGGTTGAAGATGGCATGTGCGGTAAAATGTATCTAGGTCATTACATAGCCTCTGCTAGTTAATGCTCTATTATCTTTGGGCATACTTAATTGCTAAGCGTAGGTTGGAACTCCTCTACCTCCCTTTTCCTCCACCTGCATCCATCCCCCCTTCCATCAACCCACTCACTTTCCTTGCAAAGTCTGCTCTGCTCCACTCAAGCCAATCCCTTTTGCTCTCTACAACTGTTGAGCCATTCTCTGCTCGAGTTGTTTGGTGCCCCAAGCAATCCTCTGTTCAATCTATGAATGCCCCCAATCTTTGCTGGCCAATCTTAACCAATTCTAAGAAGCCATTCCTTACTAACTCCTGATAACGATTTTTACCTTCAGATGCACAGAATTGGGAGTAAGCAAATTCTTGTTTCTTGATCAACTATCATCACTGGCTCACACAGAACCCTGTTTTTATTTTAATGATTACCTCATTATTTTAAAATAAAGACACAGGGGCGCCTGGGTGGCTCAGTCAGTTAAGCGTCTGCCTTCCGCTCAGGTCATGATGTCGGGGTCCTGGGATTGAGCCCCTCATCGGGCTCCCTGCTCACGGGGAATCTGCTTCTCCCTCTCCCTCCCTGTTTGTGCTCTCTCTTGCTATCTCTTTCTCTCTCTCTCAAATAAAATCTAATATAAAATAAAATCTTAAATATAAAATAAAATAAAATAATGATATAAATACCCATGAATCCGCCTCTCTCCCTTTAGAACAAGGTTGGCAAACCCTTTCTTTAAAGAGCCAGATAGGAAATATTTTCAGCTTTGTGGGCTGTAAGTTTTCCATCACATTTTTAACTTTGGCATCACAGAGCAAAAGCATCCGTAGACACCATGTAGGCAAATGAAGCGTGCTGTGTTCCAATAAAACTTTATTTATGGACCTTGAGATTTGAATTTCATATAATTTCCATGTGTCACAGAATATTCTTTTTTTTTTTTTCCCCAACAGTTTAAAAATGTAAAAACCACCCTGAGTTTGTGGCCTATCCAGAAAAGGGCAGCGGGCCAGATTTGATAGCTTGCCAACCCCTAACTGAGAATGTTGCTAATAACTCATACTGTGATTCCCAGACCATTGGCATTAGCACAACCTGGGAGCTTATTAGGGATGAGAATTCTGGGACCAACCACAGACCTACTGAAACAGAACTTCTTGGCTCAGCATCTGTGTTGTAACAAGACTTCTGGATGATTCCAACACACGCTGAAGTTTGACAAGAGCTGACTTACCTCTCTCTGTGTGCTCCTTCTCAACTCACACTTTAGCGTCTTCTTCCAGCAGCTAAGTCACTATCCTCAAGTTTAGGGGGTTTTGTTTTTAAACTTTAGAAAAAAAAAATGTTTCATTCTCATGGCTATAGAGTTTTTTTGTTGTGTGAATGAAACATAATTTATCTATCCATTCTCCTAACCACGACCATTTTTGATTGCTTTCAGTCTAGGGCTGTATCAAAAAAAGTTAACTATGAACGTTCTTGCACATGTCTTCTGGTACATATGTGCTCAGATTCCTCTTGGAGATGTAATTAGAACCAGAATTCCTGGGTTTTAAGGTATTCTAATGATCAGCATTGCAAGACAATATGTTTCAAAGTTGTTGTGACGATTGATACTCCCTTCAACACGGCCATTTCCTAACATTTGGCATTTGTTAGATGCCTACTTTTTAACAAGTGAATAGGTATAAATAGGTATAAAATGGTGCCTCACCCTGGCCTTGGACATTCATTTGTTAGATTACTAATGAGGTTAAAGAACTCTGCATGAGTTTATTAAGCCACATGTGTTCCTTTTTCTGTAAAACATCTATTCATGTATCTTTTCCTTGTTTCCTCTTCTGTATTGTTCTTATTTATTTGTAAGTGTTCTTTATTATTTAGGGTACTCCCATTACCACTTCTTAATCTTCTTTCTCTTAAGACTTTTACTCAGCCAGTCCATTATCTCTCGCTTGGTGATGCATGGCTTTTGTTTCTACATACTGAAGCTACCACCCCAACTCAGCTCTGTTTGAACAGAGCCCCAGCCACCTACTTCTCTTGCATTCAAAAAGCACCAGGATGGGTGCCCGGGTGGCTCAGTTGGTTAAGTGCTGGACTCTTGATTTCAGCTCAAGTCATGATCTCAGGGTTCTGAGATCGAGCCCCGTGTCAGGCTCCATGCTCAGTGGAGAGTCTGCTTGAGATTCTCTCCCTCTCCCTCTGCCCCTCCCCCTGGCTCTCATGCACACACACACTGTCTCTCTCTCTAATAAATAAATAAATCTTTTTAAAAAATTAAAATAAAATCTGCAAATCTCAAAAGCCCATATTTATTACTTTTTTAAAAAACAAGATGTATTTATTTGAGAGAGAGAGCACAAGCAGGGGGGACCAGCAGACTCCCCACGGAGCAGGGAACTCGATGCGGGGCTTGATCCGAGGACCCTGGGATCGTGACCCGAGCCGAAGGCAGACGCTTAACTGACTGAGCCACCCAGGCACCACTGTTTTGTACTTTTTAAATGGCTCAACCAAGAGTTAAAATAACTAGGAAACATTTGTTTCTCTATCTTTTAAAGATCCAATAATAGAAAATCTCCTTATTTTCATCATCTGTTAAAATGCAGTTGTGAGCAAGTGCTACCTGCATTTCACATTGGTTGAGAGGCTATGAAGGATATAAAAATGTGCCAAATATAACCCTGATTTCCAGAAGCTGACAATCTAGTCAGAATTTACATGGAATTACTGAACTAAGTGCATGTATTGATCCCCTTCATCAAAAAAAAAAAAAAAAAGTTTACTGTTTACCATTCTGAAAGAAGCACTATCCATAGGCTCTGAGGGTACAAAGAAAAAGACAAGCCAGATCCTGAACCCGCGTTACTTTTGATCTCATGGTGGGAGGGGGGGGGAGTACAATTAGACTCTAGTTAAGTCAAGAGTTCCAATGGAGGGGTGCACAGGATGCTGTGGAAGCATGAGGAAAAGGGCATCAGGGAAAGCTTCCTGGAGGAGGGGGCACTAAGTGGAGAAATATATGAATTAACCAGTTGGGTAGACCTCATCGCAGGATGCGCAAAGTGCCTGTGCAAGAGCCTGGGGGAGAGGAGAAGAGGAAGGTGGAGGAGGGGAAAGAGAGGGTACCAAAGCCTCCTTCCGACTCTGAAGAACTGCCAAAAGCCCCGAGAATTTGGCAAGAGATGCACGGTTGTAAAGACAGACTATATACAGAGTCTGGACTTGATCCTCAGGGCGATGGGAAGCCACAGAGAGGTTTTAAAGAGGCCAATAATACGCTCATTGGACTTCGCTAGGGAAAGATCCCCTGTGCCTCGGTGTGGGAGATGGAATAGAGGGAGCAAGAGGGAAGGGAGTATAACCAAATGGGGCCTGCTGAGCTACAGATGATAGTGGTGTAAACCACGGAGGGCGGGGGGCACGGGGAGGAGGGGATGGAGATAATGAGGAGGAGCCTACTTCGATGGAGGGGTGCTTTATGGAACAGGGTGTGAAGGGTCACTGTGAACTGTTCCTTATCTAAATAAAGTCAAATGGAACTTTTCTTGCCTAGACAAGTGTCATCTTGAGATCCTCCGGCCACAGAAGCCTTCAAGCCCAGGCTTCTGATGCCCCCAACTCCCAAAAGGACAGGTATCACTCCCGGGATCCCTAACTGGGCCAAGGCTGCCTCATGCCCCATTCCTCCTGAACCAGCAAGCTTGAGCTACAGAGCCCCCGGCTCGCCAGGCCGAGTTCAGGAGGCTTGAGTTCCCGGGTATGGACTTCCTACCTTCTTCCACCATCTGCCCATGTAGACAGGGCATACTTTTTCCAAGACTTCACATAACATGTCAGAGGAACAAAATACATTTACACAATATGCCCTCACGGTAGACAGAGAAAACACTGGACGACTTTCTGAGCTGAAGGGCTCACGCGATTTGAAGGACATACTCTACAGATCTATAAGCAATAAAACGTTCCCGGATTTCCTCGAGGATCCTAGTGTTCACAGGTGATTCCAATTTTATACAGCAAACGTTGACAGATAGGACCCCGCGTCCTCTCCAATGCCTCACAGCTAAAGAATAGGAAAACAAACAAACAAACAAAACCCAAACAAACCCCACCCCACAGAAAACTACCCCTGACCCAAAACCTTCATTCACGGGAACTGGAGTAATTCCCGTAGGCCTGCTAAAAGGATCCAGAATATTGCATCACCCCCACGCACTGGGAGAAGAAAGGACAGAACACTAGACAAAGAGCAGGGGCTAGAGGCTGTGAAACTGGCAATGAACACCCAGGAGGAGTCTAAATCTTGAGGACACCTGCTGGGCACATGGCATTGTACAGAGAAAGAGCAAACAGGCCCCTCCGTGTTCAGGAAGGTGTAGGACACAAGGCTGGGAGGCCAGCAGGGCTGCCCCCCAAAAGAGCAGCTAAATGCTGACAGTGGGTCTTTGGAGGCTCCTCTGCATGCCCTTTGACCTTAACCCAGGCCCCCCACAATAGGAAGTCCATTGCATCGGAAGGGAAGATAGCTCACCTGTTTTGGGAAGAGGGTAACTAATATTAAATAGATCTTCCAGAAAAGAGAAGATGGGACCTGTGAGGTTCAAAGCAAAGTCTGCATTTCCGTTCACGATGGCGTCTTTCCGGGCCCAGATGCGTATCTAAATCAAAACAATGAAGTGGTGATTAGGGAAAGCAGTTGTGACTTGGGCAATGGGCAGCCTGCTTGCTCCAAATCCCTGATGCTCTGGAGTCAAAGCCTTACCTTTTTGGAAGAAGCTACGGAATAGAAAGTTGGCCGGTCACCCGTGAACGGCATGCGGGGGTTACAGGGGTGCCGACCCCGTGCAGTAAAAAAATCCACAGATCACTTTAGGGTCCCCAAAAACTTAACTGCTAACAGGCTGCTACTGACTGAAAGCCTTACCGATCATGGGAACAGTCACTTAATACACATTGTGTCTGTTACACTGTTTCTTACAGTAAAGTAAGCTAGAGAAAAGAAGACGTTATTAAGGAAATCGTAAGGAAGAGAAAATACATTTACAGTGCCAAACTATGCACAAAATCCGGGCATAGGTGGACCCGCTGGGTCCAAATCTGCGTTGCTCAAGGGTCAGCTGGAAATGTGCAGATGCCCTGGAGAAAATCCAGAAGGCTGTTCGCTAAGATGTAAGCAGTGACTCTCTGGAAAGGGGTGTTATTTCAGTGTTTTACAGTAACGTGTCTAACTTTTGGAATTCGGAAATAATCCTTGGGCTAGTATCTACCCCCACCGAAAATGTAGACTCTGTCTTTGAGTAAAAGAGCATGTTGGACCCTTGCTTCCCTTTCTAGGACCTATTTCCAACGTTCCCAAACAGAATCGTGCGGTTAGCAGGGGTTACATGGTGTGGTAGAGATTACACACGTCTGCATCGTGCAAATTTAAAATGGTTCCTTCATGCTTATTAGCGCTGAGGTCATTAATAGGGTGATCTTGTCTTTGAAATTTTAAGTAAGGTTAATTCCCTTAATTTAAAGAAGTTCATCAATAGTTCTTTGATCTTACAGTGGTTGAGCAAGGGTATACAGTCTGTTTATGACACTTCCTCTTTAGTAGGTAAAGAGACATCCCTGCCTTGTTAGTTTAATGTGACCGACCTATTGTTTGGGCCCTTGGAAATTGATTTTGCGACTTTGGTGGCAACTTTGCTCCTGTTTGACCATTCATTATTATTATTATTTTTTAAAGACTTTATTTATTCATTTGACAGAGATAGAGAGCACAAGTAGGCAGAGTGGCAGGCAAAGGGAGAGGAAGAAGCAGGCTCCCCGCTGAGCAGGGAGCCTGACGTGGGGCTCGATCTCAGGACCCTGGGAGCATGACCTGAGCTGAAGGCAGACGCTAAACAACTGAGCCACCCATGCGTCCTCATTATTATTTTAATAGGAAATCATTTTATATCCCACAGCAAAAGCATCGGGGCACTTTTTTAATGGGGTTGCTAGCGTGAAAACACCGAAGAACATGCACGAGACTCAAAAACCCTTGAACGAAAGGTCGAAATGAGGGCATTAAGATAATTGTCCTGATGTGAATACCGTCGATGTGAGGACGCGTTCTCTGCCAAACACTGGAGAAAGTGCTGGGAAAATGAAAAGCAGGACAATGATATTTCCAGCTTGCTGTGCTCCAGGAACGCATTCACCTTCCTCTGCTTGTATTTCTGCTAGAAAATTTGCCTTGAATTAGGTGAATTTGGAATTACGTGAGGTCTTCAGGAATGTTCCCCTCTCACAGAATGCAACCACCTGCTTCTGGGGCCTCCAACCTCATGCTTTTTGGCCTCCCCCACGCTGCAGGGGCCTCCTTCTCCCAGGAAGGAGGCCTCAGGACTCAGCCCTGCCCCTACATGGCACTTGCCCCACCCCCCACCTCCAGTTCCAGGCAATAGGAAGATGGCTGCACCCAAACCCACACTGCGTGTGGAAAGAACATTCCCTTCTCCCTGCGTTCAAGATGGATGCATTTTCACTGTAACATCTGGAGAAATAACAGAACCTTTGTAGGTTCAATTTTCAGTTTCAAAACTCCTCCCCCAAACTACCATCCTATAAGCCAAAGGGGAAGCAAGTGATGGAGACTTCAAGCTGTGTGGGAGGGAGCTAACACCAAACAGTGAGGAACACTTGGAAGATGCAGCCGTAAAATTCCTTCAAATCCACACCTCGCCCCCCTCAGTGTGATCTTGGGGTCCTCCCTGCACCCAGCAGACCTCAACACCTAAGAGAGGAAAATCTTCACACGTGCCTGTGTGTGCCAAGTCCTACTCAGAAGATGTTATTTCCAACCTTAGGTCTGTGTTTCCATGCTTATCCTCATGTCAAGGAATAGCCACCTTTTCAGTCTCACTAAATTCTTATCTCTTCCTCGACAAGCAATTGTTTGTATAATCTGGACCCTCTTCCAAGAGTACATTCTGGTTCCCCTGTAGGATAGACGGCAGACTCCTTCCCTTTGTAGAGAGCTGAGCCGGAGCCAAACCAGCTGATAAACTCATCCCAAATTTCAATCTTCTGGCGAAGAATGGGCCTTTCTTAGGCCTGTTCCGTTCCCTCTTTGCTTCAACGGCAGCTGGTTTTCTTTTCAGGGCTATCTTTCACCAAGAAATGGACTGGTCCCTTTTTCTCAAACTTTCTGCTGAAAGAGCAGCCCCAAGAGCCACCGGCCCCTTGAGAGCCACCGGCCCCATGGGAAGCCCCATGATGCGCTTCCACATCATGCCCGAGGAGATTTCTCAAGAGGTGTCGGGAATGGTTCCCTTGGCCTGCACTCCGTCTGTGTATCTCAAGGCCCCACCAGTGACTCTTCGGGAAGCAAAATCAGGCTGCAACCAATAGCTGAGGAGGAGAGCTGTGGTCTGCGTGGAACATGGTATTGTTCCGTCAGCCTGCAGAGGAGTAGCTCGGAGTGATTCGCCCCTGGTGAGGCGCTTGTCTCCTCCACAGCCTCCTGATCTGCACAAGTCCATGGTACAAGCCTGGAAGATGCTGGGCCCAGGGAGAGAGTCTCCATCCTCTGTGGGAGCCCGATCTGCCTCAGGTCTGGGAGGTCAACGTGGTGAGACAGAACACGGCCTGCGGAATCGGCCTTACTTCCCTCCACGCTCCAGTGTGGGGTGTGAGCCAGATGGTAAAGGACTGCGGTGGGAACCTGGATATTTGCCCAGAAGGTGACTACAGAAGGAGGGTATGACTGGGTGAGAAGGAGGTGTTTTAGGACAGAGCGCCTCCTTCACCCAACTCTGAGGGAGCGCTGTGTTTCTCAGAGTTGAGCAAGCCCGCTGCCCTGATCCATCACCTGCAGGCACCGTTTCCATCATGTGGCTGTTCCCAGCTGGTGCCCAGGGCCATATGGGGCACTGGACACCCTGACTGTCATCCCCGCTTCAAGGCTGCATCACCTTGTGGACTAAATAGCGGGCAAACCTGAGTTTCAAGGCGTGAGTGCAGGAGAACTGTGGCGTCCCATCTGCAAAGCCACACTAGAGTTTCTTTCTTTCCTTTTTTTAAAAGATTTTATTTATTTGTCAGAGAGAGAGAGAGTACAAGCAGAGGAAACTGGAATGGGAGAGGGAGAAGCAGGCTCCCCGCTGAGCAAGGAGCCCGATGCGGGGCTGGATCCCAGGACCCTGGGATCATGACCCGAGCCGAAGGCAGATGCTTAACGACTGAGCCCCCCAGGCACCCCTCCCCCCATTAAGAGTTTCAAGAGGGCCTAGAAACAGTCAGAGGGGCCACCAGGAGGTGACATGGGAAACAGAGACATGACCTCCGGATTCGGAAAGAACGGACGAACCACCCACAGCCAGCACGAAGGCACTCACCTGGGTTGTCTTCCTCACTCACCTCCTTGCCCCTTTCGGTTCTGTCCACGTGGGCATAGTCACATACGGCCAAGGCCACTAAGTAAGTCGGCATGTGGGGCGTCGTGGAAAAGGTGGTGACTGTCCACGTGCTTCCATTTGTGTCTCTCCTTGCAGACTGACCTACAGAGATCGATTTCAGTCCAAATCACTGTAAACCAAAGCACTAACAGCCACCTCTGAAACCATGTGTCCAGGCGCGTGTCACCCAGTGACTTCTTCCCAGCCAGTCCCCAGAGTCGAGCAGTTTGGATTTCTCCACCCCAAACTCATCAAAACCATATGAAGTGAAATAAGTCCGAGAAAGACAAATAACGTATGATTTCACTGATGTGTGAATTTAAAAGGCAAAACACATGAACAAACCAACCAAGAAACAAAAAAACTGGAAACTCATAAATACAGAGAATAAAATGGTGGTTGCCAGTGGAGAGGGGGCTGGGGCGGTGGGCAAAATGGGTGAAGGAGATTAACAGCTAAAGTGGGGAGGGGTGCCTGGGTGGCTCAGTCAGTTGAGCATCTGAGTCTTGGTTTCCACTCAGGTCATGATCTCAGGGTCGTAAGATCGAACCCTGCTTCGGACTCCATGCTCAGCGTGGAGTCTACTTGAGATTCTCCCTCTCCCTCTGCCCCTCCCCCTGCTAGCACTCTCTCTCTCAAAATAAATAATCTTTGAAAAAAGATCAATGCCACAGGGATACAATGTACAGCATAGAAGATAGTGACTACACTTATCATGGTGAACTGTGCATAATGTCACCTAATTGTCAAATCACCATGACGTACCTCTGAAACTCATGTAATCTTGTATGTCCGCTATAGTTCAATTAAAAACATACAAACAAAGAAACGACATTAGGAAGATCTAGGGACAGCACCTTTGCTCTGAATCGGTATCTTGAGTAATATTGACGGAGGGCCAAATCCATGGGCACGTAGGTGAGGCCCACGACGCACCTCTTCTCTTTTCCATCCACTTCTACTGTTTCCTAGACCAGTCCAGCTCTCACAACACTTCATCTAGAGCCTCCCAGGCCCCCAGGAGTCAAGGAAGGGCAATGTGGCCATTGTACGGTTTCGGCAAAGTCTTCAGTGGAGGCAGGCTGGGTCTTTAAAGCTGAGGGCCGGGTATCTGATGTGAATCAGGCTGGCATACATTAACAGGGAGTGGTGGGGACCACAACAGGCTGGGGGGGCCCCCCGTTCTGCAGGGGACAGCCTCTCACGAGCTCTAACTATTGCTGTCACGAAGGAGCTACATGCTTCGTGTCCTTATATCTTCTGTTTACAAGGAAGTAAAAATCTTGATTTTTATGAGAAATCTCTGGATTTTTTGAAGTTCAATCAGAAGAAAAAAAAAATCGTGTGAGCCAAATGAAACACATCTGGGCACCAGATTCAGACTAAGTCTGCTAGCTTGTTATCACTAATGATCAATATTAAAGGCCAAACTAACGGGCAGACAGGCTGCCAAGGAATAAGAACAACGTGGTGTCCCCAGCTTCCAATGCAAAAAGAAATCAGGATTCACCATCTCCGAGATGCTGGTGCTGATACAGACCCCAGGTGACTGTTCTCCCTAATTATAATACACTGCCGATACACAGCCTCGAAAAGCTATTGATATCAAAGGTATTAGAGAGTTAAATATCCATGCATACACATATATATGTCTGTACACACACATATGTATCATTACTATACACGTATATATGAGGACAGGAAATATTACTTACCTAGTTTTGGCATGTTGGAAAGGGCCACATAGCTTGGGTGATGAATAATTGTAATATTAAAAGTTGCCTTTAGAGCTGGCTCATCAAAACAAGGAAACACACTCCTGGCAAATGTGGGTTCCATCTGAGACGCTAACAGGGCCCTGCAATACAGTTTTGGGAAAAATCTATTTATTTTTATTTCAAATTAGGGGAAACAAAAAAAAAATTCGGAGGGATGATGGCTTATAATTATATTCAGGGAGGAGCTGGAGTATTTCCCCTCATCTTCCTCACTCCCCTTCCAGTTAAAACACACACAGTTTAGTTCTCACCACACCTTGGAATTCTTGTAAGACCTAAAATACAAAAGACCTATTTAATTTTTGACCACAAAATACTATTTACTTCATTACATCATATGCCTTTAAAACCCTCTGCAAACAAAATAGGGACAAATATAGCAAATACGCAATGAGGCTTTTGAGAACCAAGTTATTTTTTTAAACTAGGATTACTTTTTGGGGACTGGACTATTGTTCCCATCCTCCATTGAAATGCAAGCAATGTTTACTGGAGAATTTCTACATTTTTATCTTTTTCTCACATGGTCCCTCTTCTTCATGGTTGAAAACTTAGAAGAGGTTTCATTCTGCACCCGCTGGGGGTAAATGATCTAAGTACATGCCAAATGAAAAAAAAAAAAACCAAAAACTACTTTCATTTACATATGGGTAGATTTGTCAAATCCCTACGGCTCCTTCCCCGATCTCCATGGAAAAATACAAAGAGTGGCATTACCCCACAGTGCACTGGTGATTTATGGGGAAAACTTTAGGGACAAGAGTGCCCTGGGCAAACGAGGAGATTGTCAGGTTCATCCTCTGTAAACACGGCCAAAACCTGACAAGAGATGGGTCCTCACTAACAACTTTCTTCCCAAATAAACCTGTGGTCTCATTAAGACTCGGTGACCTGGGACCCCGATTTGGGATGACAATTGTGGATGCTAATTCTTTTTTTTTTTTTTTCCCTAAGGTCCTGAGACTTACTGTCCCTGATGCATTTACCCTTGTTTCAGGCCCAGCTCTTAAATAAATAACAAGGGAATTCAACAGGGTGTGAGAGAATATGGTCCCTGCATTATCACCACCTACCTCCACCATGATAAGGCCCCCACTCACATGAAAATTCACACGCAACAGTCCCCACGCTCAAAAGCCTCTCAAAGTCAGCCAACTTGAAGTGTTCATAACCTTGCTGTGACAAAACTGTAATTTCAACAAGCCTGTTCTGCCCCACTTAACTTTGCCCTTGCTTCCACAGGCTGGAAGGCGGCCCGTGAACTCTGACATCCGTGAACTCTGACCTCAGCCACTTTGGCTGCAAGACTCTGCTCCATCTCGTGATAGCTGAGCAAGCCTGAACAACCTGCCACACGTTCTTGCTGAGCCTCTGATTCCCCACCCAGAAAGGAATGGCACCATCAACCTTTTCTTGCTGTTTGAACTTTTACCTGATTAGTAACTGAATTTATCAATAAACCACCTACGAATTCTCCTATATTCCTTTCAATCTCCCAGATTGTTCTCCATATAGATGAACTGTAAAAGAGTTCAAGGAGGGATAAGTTACGGGGTAGGGGTGGAGGGTTGGAACATTGACAATTACAACTGCATTTAGACAGGTCTCAGAGGTCACGGTTGACCGCAAGCTGAATACGAACCACATTTGTCTTCCTAATAAAGATCAAACTTCCAGAAGTAGGGGTCACGTGTTTTCTCTTCAGTACCATTTATAATATTTGGCAAAAACATGCGTTCATAACAATTGAATAAGTACTTTCTCAGCTTTGGAAGGACTGCAAAATAAAGGCAGCTTGATCTAATATAGATAAAAGAATACGAAGTATTTTTACAGTGTCTGTTGCCCCAGGTATTTGTTTTGTAGTATTGGTTGCTATCTTTAAAAGACAGGTGATGAAGGAGAGAAGAGTCAAACAGTTGACAATATAGTGGAAAGAATATTGAGCAGCGAGGGGCACCCGGGTGGCTCAGTCAGTTAAGAGTCTGCCTTCGGCTTAGGTCAGGATCCCAGGGTCCTGGGATCGAGTCCCACATCGGGCTCCCTGCTCAGCAGGGAGTCTGCTTCCCCCTCTCCCTCTGTCTACTGCTCCCCCTGCTTGTGCTCGCTCTCTCTGACAAATAAATAAAATAAATTAAAATAAAATAAAAAGAAAGGAAACCTCTCTCCACTGCCACGATTTCACAAAGCATATGAATCTCAAGGAAGTTGCCAGGTGAGAAGGAGAGAAAATCAGACTCTTCAGGCAAGTGGGAAAGTTGTATGCTCAACAAAAAGGGCTACTCTACCTCTGAAACTAATAATACATTATATGTTAACTGTTGATTTTAAATTTTAAAAAGTGGGGGCGGGGGAGCTACAGGTTTCAAAAAGGCTAAGAGACGCCCGCTCAGAGAGTCACCGCTTTAACAAACCAAATAGCCAGCAAGTGCCTTCCCATTCCATGATTTGGGCCTCTGTAGAAGTGAAATAAAAGAAACTCTTGGATCTTGCTCAACTATTTCCCTCCCTGGTTTGTTACAAACAAACAAAATGGGAAAGATCCCTACAACACACAGCCTTGCTGGCTCTCAGGCTTACCTACCCAGGTCAGGACCTACCAGCAGCATACACAACCTGGTTGTGCCACATCTGGGAACTGAAGGATGGTACTTGTTCCCTGCTGTCTCTGCTTTGGACTCAAGCAACCCTGTAAGGATATGCTGACCTCAGAAAAAAGAACCATCCACCCTCCCCTGCCCTCAAAGCTCACTGAAACATGCTATTACAGTGCCTGGGAAGTCTGGGTTGAGAGCGGTCAGCTGGGGAGGGAGTTAATTTGGGAGAGTTTGTCTCGTAGGGGCTCAGGATTTCAAAGCCACTTTCCTGCCCTCTGGTACAGCCAGACAATCCTGGACTCGCCACGTTTCTGTGCCGGAGGAGGTCTTCGGGGTCAAGACCACGTGATATCCTTGGGGGTCCATCTCCTGCCATGTAAGAAACATCCCCTCACTAAGGTATTTCATTCCCAAATATTGTATGGACACCAACTGCCTACAGCTCTAGCTCACAAGTGCTGAGTATTATAACTGGCCAAGGGTTAAGTAAGACCTGAAAGTGGTCCCCCTGAGTTGTTTTTGCACAACGACACACTCAGAAATCAAAATGTTTAGTAAAGACGGACGTTACACCACTGGTCTGTGGTTCAAGGCTTGGCCCATGAATCATGTTTGTTTATTACTTGTGTAACAGGATCTTAAAACTGAAGTTTCCACCAGGCAACAGGACATAATAGAGGTAAAATTCCAGAGAAAGGTGCCAAACCATGTTATGAAGATTTTTGAAGGAGATGGCCTCGAGAACCCACGGGCCCTTCTTGGGCTTCTCAGGTCCATCAGAGATATATGGAAGAGGGTGCCTGGGTGGTCTGTTAAGCATTTGCTTTCGGCTCAGGTCATGATCCCAGGGTCCTGGGATCGAGTCCTGCATCGGGCTCTCTGCTCAGCAGGGAGCCTGCTTCTCCCTCTCCCTCTGCCCC